GTCTTCCCTATATTTGGATTTTATTATTATTGACTGGAGCAATAGAATGAAATAAGAATGTATACCTATGACAGGATATTATCTACTGTATATTAAGTTTTACACACCTGAAAAATATGTTAATACAAATAATTGTTGTCATGTTAACATTGCAGGTTTCAAGCTGTCTAAACCAATTTTACATTCTCAATAAAGAATGTTTAACATTTTGAACCAAAAACAGTACAGCACGAATAATTAAAGGCTTAAGTTAAATACATAGACAGTCATTTAAATTTAGATCTGCAATAACATTTACTATTATTCTCTAAGGCTTTGACTGTGCTTGACAGAAACAAAGTACTCTGGGATTAATTTCAAGAAATGGTGCCAACTGTGCACAATTTGCTGTAATTAAGACATGAAAGAGTACTAAATATTCAGATTAAAAGAAGCAAGATGGAGCATGATAGAGAATCAGGGTGTGGCATAAAGCCAATAAAGCGCAGTCATTCATGAATTCCCAATAATGATTGATATGAAACTTAAACCAATACAATTGCAGTATGTGTTTAAAAATTGTGTGCACGCAGTTTAAAATGAGAGTACATTTTATAGGAAAATGTTTTTGTTTGTCTTAATTTAAAGACAAAATTTTCTACATGGCAGCTTAGAATAACATTAAAACAAACAAAATTAAAATGTTATAATTATTGTATTTTATAGGGATAGTAAGTTTAAGTAGTTGGGGGGGGGGAAATAAAATGGTATTATTATCTCTTTGGTGCTGGGATTTCCCTATGTACACATTAATCTACAGTCGTTTGTTATAGTGCCAGTCCAAAGAGCATTGGAGACATTGGCTCCAAGAGGTTAAATATCTTTTTTATTTTTATGAAATTTCTTTTTAATTTTTTTTAAAGGAAAAGCATTCAATTAGATCAAAGTATATTTTTTTCTCTTACTGTCAGAATTATGTGGAATATTTTTCTTTGTCTTTGGATTTATAAGTATTGTTTTAATGATCTATTTATTGTAATGCTAAATCTTTCTTCAACACGTTTTTATAACTTAAATTCCTTGTAACTTTTTGATCCTAGAGGAGATGTGGGTATTTGACCCAGTTGCTAATGAGGTGCTGTATAATTTCATGTATCCTATAGCTCAAAATAGCAGGATGCAGTATAAAAAGTACATCATAAAAGCACTATTGGAATGTTTTTTGTCTTCACAGGCAATACGCAAAAGAGATGACCTTCTGAGAAAGTCGGAAGCTGATCTCCTGCAGGCAAGGGAAGGTATCAAAGCTAAAGTTGCTGAGGTGGAGCACCTTGACAGTGTGGTCAAGAAACTGAAAGCAAGTATCCAGGACACACAGAAAGAAAAGAATCAGAAGAAGAGAGAAGCCATCATACTGAGAACTGAGATTCAGCAGCTAAATCAGGAACTGCAGGGTGTGCATAAGCAGTACAGAGAGACAGGTAATAATGTACAAAAATAGTAATATTACTGAAATGTGAATTTGGCGCAGTCTAATAGAATAGAATTCTCCATCATATGGATATATGATTGCTGTAATCAAATGAATACAAAAAGGTTCCCTGCTCTGCTTTAGGGTGAATTTGCAGCTGGAGACAGCAACTTTATCAAAACAAAATAAACATACCCGAATACTTTATTGTTACACATACTGTGAGGTATTTGTAAAAATTTAGTTAAAAATCTAATTCTGTCTCAGAATGCCGGCTAATTCACTGACAACAGAAATTATAATTTGAACCTATCAATTTTTATATTATTATTGTTTCAGTGTACTGTTTTGTTGATCTGGTGTGATTAATGCCCATTATATAGAATTTTATAGCTCTATCTGTAACACATTCGTGAACTGAAGACATAAAGCTTTTCTCAAGTGGATATTATCCACAAAACCAAAATAAGTTGCAAACAGTATTGCAGGTTGAATTGTACAGTACAAGCAGCCATTCAACAATGACTGATAATCTACTTAAAATTATTTTTGCCCAGTACTTTGAGCCCTTGCAGACTACATATATGTTAGAATTATTTTTCTAAATAAGCAAATTCAATAAGCAGATGGCATTATTAATATTATAGAGATATGGTATAGTAAAGTTTTGAAATATATTACTTTTACCAAATAAAATATTAATAAAGTCATTGGGAACATAATAGACAGCCTGTGTCAACCCCTTAATTTTCTCTTCCACTATTCACAACATTGCCAGATACATGTTTCTGGATAAAACCCCCTAGAGGTCTGCTGCAAATTCTTTTTCAATACAACCAGATCATTGCAGATAATTGTATTACACAGGGTATTGATCCAAAATCGTTGTGCACCGGAAACATCTGAAAAAACATGATTATAGCTTTCTGTTTATTGTTCGTACATCATATAAGCAGGCTTTTGTGTGAATCACCTGTAAGGAAGGCAAGGTGGAAACATCAGAGAAATTACCTCTTTACAAGAATCTATTGATCACTTTAAATCAAAGAAGTATGTTTGACATAAGATTACCTGCCAGTTTGAACATTAGGTACACTATGTTATAGCCTGGGGCAGTTGTAAGTCTGACAAAGGGATTGTAAATAAAGCATGCAGCTGCTAGTGCCTCTGGCTTGGGATCAACCAAGGCTCAAGTCCAAGGCATAGGTAAACCTAAAATAAGTTAACTCTTTTTTTACCTGCACATTGTGAATTAGAGTAGATCCTTAAAGAACCATGAAAAATAAATCAAATTCATCATTTAGACTGGGCATGCCACTTAGAAAATACACATAGCTTGATATGTTTACAAATCAAAACAGATATACACATATGAGAGGAGTTCTACAAGTTACCTTTGTCTCCAGGCAGTAGATCATATATCCATAGACAACTTCTGAAAACTTTGAAAAAAATGTTTAAAAAATGTTTCTAAGTGGTACAGATAAAAATATTTTAAATTTAATTAACATTAACTGTTGTAAATCATGTATTTGAATAAAACTCACTTGATGTTCAAAGTTTTGTTTTACAGATAAAAATCAAAACTTAACATTGAAAAATTTTAAATAGAGGTAGTAAGTATTGCATTTAATATGTTTTCAGTTTCCAAACTGAGGGCCCAAAACACACAGATGATTAACTTTACTTGTGCAAGTAGTCTATTTGATCTCAGGGGGACTGAATCCATGACTAAACTTACTCACCTATGTGTTTACAGGATTTGGACCTAAATCATCTATACCAAGAAAGTGGTGATTTCCCATTTATTTCTTGTTGAATGATGGGAGCTAGATCTCCTCTACACTAGAATTGTTTTAGCCTAAAGGGTTTATTTTAAAATTTGAAAGCAAACTTGTTATAAGTTGTTTATTAGATTTTGTCCATATTTTAACATGTGTTGAAATTATTAAACATTTAACTCATTTGTTCACAGAGATTCAGATGTAGTTGGGATTTAATAAAGATGAGTTATGAGTGATACATGTTCCTTGTTAAATATTTAGCTGTTCAGGTTAGCTGTGTGGTTTCTGGAGGCACTAATTTAAACAGTTAATATATAGCACTTTTAAGTTACAGAAATTGTAGACATGGTATTGGGTTTTGTTTGATTGGGGAGAAGGGGATTTTTGGGGGGTTAACGAGGGGGAAACAGTAGACCACTTATTTTTTAATTTAAAGAAATTGACCTGCTGTTCAGAATACACAAATAATTATGTAATGGTAAATCAGATACTTGTATTTAGATCCTGTGTATCTGGGCAATACTGTTTGACAAAGCTGTGTGATAAATGTAGAATATTTTGACAGAGTACTAGCACTTTATTTCTTTAAAGGCTACTTTATATGTAAGGATGCACAAACCAGTTTCCAACTTCACTGAAGCTTAATAGACATACCACTCTTTCAACAATACATTAGGATCATTAAAAGGAAAACATTCTCTATGATAATATAAACTTATGTGTTATGATTCTTACTGAACTGTTGCTACTAAAAATCACTCCAATATTTTTTTTATTTTTAGTATCAGGGCTTGGAATCATCTAAATACCCCTTAGTTATAGGCCTTCTTGTTATACAGTACCCTTCATTGGAAAATGCTTGTTCCAATAATCAATTTAATTTCACAATACCTTAAAATTAGATTACATAGCTAAATGTGCACATACATCTCTGAAGCATATACCTATGGAAAGATATAAAAACCAGTTACATATATATGTATACATATGTGCTAAGGGGCAAATATTTAAATTAAAACCTATGTACACATTTTTTTAGGAATATGGTACACAAAGAACAAAGGAAAAATGTCTTTGTCTTGAATCACTTATTTTTCTGAGAGAGCTGGAAGCAAGCTACTATGGTTTCTTTTGGTCTAATGAAAGAGTGCCATCTATTGGATGACCTTGGGAAATAAATGTGTTTGTACTATGTGTGTACTCCATAATTCATGAAAAAAATGTAATGAAACAGAAGATTTTCAGTTAAAATTGTATGTGTTTGAATTGTGGAACTAAAATCTATTCAAAAGAGAGGTAATAAATACTAGATTAAATTACCTTATGAAATGTTAAAGCAATAGCTGTGTGCTTGAAAATGGTGTTAAATACTGAATATCTACATATCTAGTAGGATTTGATTGCAGTTTAATGTTAAAAAATATTGAACTAAATTATCTTTATTTGACTTTACTGAAGTGCATGTGAAGATACTTAAGTCAGCTATTAATTTATTGGTGGTGGTTTATTTTCTTTGAAATATCGGGAAACTGAATGAAGCTCTTCTGAAAACAAGTATTTGTCTAGCTCTTACAGGGATTTGCATTGTATTATATTTAAAACAAAAATGTCATCTAGGTTTGATTTTAAAATGCAATGCTTTTTTTAAATCTTTCAGCTCCAGAACTTGCCAGTCAAGATGAAAAACTTCTTCTAATGGAATCCAGCTTGAAAGGAACTCAAGAGCAGCTAAGTGAGCAAATAACAGAAACAGTTCGCCAAGAACAGAACAGTAGAAAATCACAGACAGAGCTGAAGACCCTGAGAGAACGTATTATAGCTTCTGAAGAAGGAATTAGGGATTACAAGTGAGTTACTGCTTTTTTAGTATTTTAGGAAGTTTTAACAGAAGACATTAAAGTCAACAGTAATTCCTTTTGTTAAATACTGTATTGTTTATCTCAGGTAAGATGTGGTATAAGTATGTGCTGCTAATCTATTGAATAAACTGTTAAATCTGAACTGTTGATTCATGTATGCTGTAAAATATCCTTTATTCTTAACCAAAAATTCAAGGTTTTAAAAAAGCCACCATATTAGTATCAGTTATCTCTTTTACTTCTTTACAAATGTAAAAGGCATGAGTGTTGAAGAAAAATAATCCATTTTATTTATACAGTGTCCATCTGCCAATGGCATTCTCATCTTCCTCTTTTTTAGAGTCCAAAGGTTACATGTGGCTCTTATTGTATTTCTTTTTTGTTAAAGAAACTGCCTTTAAGCAAGACGCTATCAAATCAAGTAAATTTAGAGTTTGAACTTCTAGTCACAACAACGAGACACATACAAGGTTGCTAAAATAAGCTAAAGAAAACATATATTTTTTGCATACTGTATTATATAAAAGTTTACTATTGGTGATGTAGTCCTCTGTTCTCATGGGTCAAATTTAGTATCTGTTAGACTTAATATTTACAGAAAAAATTCAAATTGAAAAGTACTAATCTTTTGGGTTTGGGTTTTTTGCTAAAATAAATTAGTAAAACTTTAAAAAAGGTATTTTCATATTCACATGACTCAAAATTGATTAATTATTTATCTTTTCAGGATCTAGAATTTTATGAAAATGACTCATTTAGCTGAATGCTTTTTCTTTTGTTTGTATTATAAATAGTTTCACTCACTGAAGTTTTGTTACACTGAGTAATCACTAACTCGAATGATAGGCATTTCAAGCTGTTTTATAATATCATGGAGTACAGTTGAACACTTTCTACAGGTTAGCCTAATATAAATAAATAAATAAATCTGTTCATATAGCGATGGATTGAACTTTTAGAGCAAAATTCTTATCTAAGATATGTGGCAAGCAATAGAGCATATCTCAAAAAATCCACTTCTCTGATAGCAGTGTTGTTGAGATTAGTGGCAATAAGCACTGTGCTTCTAAAATCAAGGTCCCTGTCCTTTATATAATTAAACACAATAATTCTGTAATTTTTGATGTTCAGTATAAGTGATTTTTACATTTTAACTACTCTACCATTTTATAGTTCAAATACTACAAGTTGATTTATCTGTTGGAAATGGAGCACACTCCATGGAAAAACACAATCTACAGGAAATGTCCTCATTCCTTTACATAAAATAGCTCAGTAGTTCTCAACCTGTAGATTGCATCCCTAAGGGTATCACCAATGCTGCTCTGGGATGGGGAATGTCACAAATCTGCTTTCCTTATTTCTCTTAAATCTTTTGCTAAAGTGGGTTTATTCACCCATTTTCAACTGATTACTCTGTTGCCCAAACCTCATAAACTGTTGTGCCAGTTTCTGTAGCACTTCCTTTCAAATACCTGGGGTTACCTATTTAACAAAGGCATCTGATGCATATCTGAGAGGAGCAGTTGTGAGTGACTGAATGTGAGGCTGTGATATGAAAAAGGTCAAGGCACCCTGAAATAGGTGGTGTAACAAAATGACTGATAGAAGAATTTTTTGCAAAACTTGTTACCTAAAATGAAGCTTGTTAATGGTGGAACAGAAGGCCAAATTAAGATTATTAGAATGCTCACATGAAACACACTTAACTATAACTTTATATTATACATTGCATACACAAAGTAAAACTGCTTTTTAACTTGAAAAACTGGTAAATTAACCTACAGCTTGCAGTTTGGATTATTATAGTCAGAAATATTGTTCAGTTGTATCTGAAACTTGTGGTTGTGTCAGTAAAATGTGTGAAATGAACCTTCAGTTGGAGAGAGATTAAGTTAGATTTATTTGCCCCCACTTCTAACCCTCAAGTTAAATTCTAATTTCTTAGTTTTGACATCATTGCTTTATAAAAGTACTATGACTCTTTACTGCAGAATTATGCAAAGGGAGAAGTATTCGTTGTATTTGCCAGCTTATTTTTAAATAACTATATTCAATAGTTAATAGCTATGACAAGGTTAGTGTAATAAAGTTAAAAAAAACAACTACAGAAATTCAGACATGTTTAAATATTATTGTCCCTCTTTAAAATACAATTTTGTTACCTATTTAAGATTAATCACGTGGAGAGGTCAATAGCTGATTAGATAATGCTATGATCTGTTTCTTGGAAGAGAGAAAGGACAATGGGTCTCTCTCCCCTGGGTTTGCTGGGGCTTGAGGTATCATAGAGGTGATGCACAGTCTCTGTGTAAGGTACAGCATGTGTTGCAATGTAGCATCCTCTTGCAGCTGACTTTGTGAAAGTCATACAGTCCTGGTATCAGCTTACCTTCCTACTTGCTAAGTGAATGAGGTAAATGCAGTTGGTTTGAAGGCAAGAGGGTAGTTTGGTTTGTTGAACATGAAGAAAATGCAAGACAGTATAAAGGGGTGGGTGAAAGCCTCACACCGCAGTGGTCTTGAGGCTAACTTTATGCTGTAGCTGTTGTTGGGGGGAAGAGTCTATTCCTGAATGCTTTTTATTTTCCTGCTGCAAAAACATAAGTTAAAAAGTTATTTTTCAAGAAAGTGATAAAAGATAAAATGATTGGATAGGATAAAAAAAGTTCAATGTTTTCATTGGTATTTATCAGAATAAAAATGAGAAATCATCAAAATATTTCCTGATTTTAGTGGACACGGTGTTTAGGACCCGTAAAATGTCTAATCGGTAGGAAATATTTGAGAGTTGCAAGAAGTCACAGGATTTGTTTTATTTTTATTTATTCTCGATGAACTAAACATAAAGTTAAAAAAAAACAACCCAACCCCACAATGTAAGCCTGTTATATTTGAAAGATTTGTTCAGAATGTCCAGTGGGAACCTGGAAATCGTAATAATTTGTAGTATCGATTGTGTGAAGCTATGCAGCCGGAGCCCCGAGTGAATAGACAGAAATAGACATTTTATTGATTAACTTTTACAGTCATATTTTCAAGACTCTGGTGCAACATAATTTTCACTTCCCAGCTTTTGTGCTGCTGCATCATGAAACTTGGATTCTTCTCTCTTAACACTTACCCACTTGAGGGAAACAGTGTGGGCTTATCTCTTTCAGGTCTGTGCTCTGTAGAGATGCATAATTTTCTGCACAATGATTTGTTCTAAAATTTCTTTCTACTTGTACTTTAAAGTAAAAAGGTACCATCTCATCATGAAGGTCTTTAGAAATAATATGTTAATAACTATTTTGTAATTGCTTCTAGTAGTTTTCCTTTGTTTTTGCATTTTGTTTTATTTTCCCCCCCTTAAATTACTGAAAGCTAAGATTTTGGCATAAAAAGAATTGTTAAAAATAATTTTCCCCACAATGGTGTTTTGTTCTCTGTTACATTTTTAAAAGGAAAAGAAGGGACTACAACACTGAAAATATAAAATGTATTCTCAGGAGGAAATTCTTTGTTTTCAGGGGTGAAACTCTTGGAGTATTGAAGGGCCATGATTTCACCCTAAATATTTAGCAGCTATTTTAAAAATATTTAACTGTACATAATTCTTAACTAGATAAACCACAGCAATACTTATTGTGCAGTCCTCACGGAAACCAATTTCAGAAAAATATTAATGTATATTTGCCCTATACAAAATATGTAGTATTTGAAAGTATATTAATAAACTGTACGTATATGCACCAGCCTCTTCAACTCGCATAGATATATGCAATAACTTTTTGTTGGCTTTCAGCAAAAATCCAGATTGTTATTACTTGTTTTATTGTATTTAATGATTGTTCATTATCACCTACATTATATCCTAGCTCACATTGATTTGAGAATTTGTCTTGATATAAAATAAGCCAGAGTCTCAGCTGATATAGTCACTAAAGTGATCATCTGAGGATCAAGCCCATTGTTTTATCTTAAATTATGTTAATATTAATTTGTTTTATATGTATGTATTTTGCTCACTATTAAATACATTTGTTTGACCACCACCATTGGTAGCATCTGGGTGCACTGAGGCAATAAACATCCCAAGTAGTTCCCAGTGCTCACTTTATTTACTTTAGTTCATCTTTAAGTCTAACCTAGAGCAGTATCCATGTTTTCTTTCAAATCCAGAGACATGCTTAAAAAACTTCCATTACAGTTAACAGCATCAAAGACAGCTCAACAGCAAAAGCTTCATGGAGCTCTCAACAGGCAGCAGTTAGAACCAGTATCAGCCATGGAACAAGTAAACAATCTGAAACAACAGGTGAGTTTGCTTATATGTGAAAAAGCAATTCTACAGCAAACAGAGTACGGTGTCATATCATAATTGCATTTTTGGGCCCCAGTCTTGCAAACACTTAGGCATGAAAGTAATTCTGCAGAAGCCAAAGCAACTACTCAGGGAACAAAGCTACTTGTGTTCATTTGCAGGACTGAGGCCTAAAATTGCATTAATTATATAATGTTCACGGTTGGTGAACTGTAGCTATATGTGTGTGTTTTACTGAGCTATAGGGATTACGTTTGGAATTGTGATTTGAAAATTATTTGTAATAAGTGAAGTTACCTGATGTGATTAGCTAGTTTTAAGGGCCAGTTGAAGACCGGCATCTCAGTTATTTTAGCTATCTCACTAAGAAGAAACTGAAAGTCTGATCAGTGTTAACTAATTTGTACTTTTGTTATTATGGATATAATATGGATTTTAAAGGAGAGAGTGGTTATGTTAAACTATAATTAAAGAGTAATATGGCCATGACCCAATTAACTTTCTAATCTTACTAGTAAAACTGTAGAACAGTAAATCAGGATTTTGGTTTACAGTAGGGCTGTCAATTCATCGCAGTTAACTCATGCGATTAACTCAAAAAAATTAATCGTGATTAAAAAAATTAATTGCAACTAATCTTAGTTTTAATCACACTGTTAAACAATAGAATACCAATTGAAAT